CGCACCTACACACTGTACCACACGCACCTACACACTGTACCACACGCACCTACCCACTGTACAACACGCACCTACACACTGTACAACACACACACCTACACACTGTACAACACGCACCTACACACTGTACAACACGCACCTACACACTGTACCACACACACACCTACACACTGTACAACACGCGCCTACACACTGTATAACACGCACCTACACACTGTACCACACGCACCTACACACTGTACCACACACACGCCTACACACTGTATAACACACACCTACACACTGTACAACACGCGCCTACACACTGTACAATACGCACACCTACACACTGTACCACACACACGCCTACACACTGTACCACACACACGCCTACACACTGTACCACACGCACCTACACACTGTACAACACGCACCTACACACTGTACAACACGCACCTACGCACTGTACAACACGCACCTACGCACTGTACAACACGCACCTACACACTGTACAACACGCACCTACACACTGTACAACACGCACCTACACACTGTACCACACGCACCTACACACTGTACCACACGCACCTACACACTGTACAACACGCACCTACGCACTGTACAACACGCACCTACACACTGTACAACACACACCTACACACTGTACAACACGCGCCTACACACTGTATAACACGCACCTACACACTGTACCACACGCACCTACACACTGTACCACACACACACCTACACACTGTACAACACGCGCCTACACACTGTATAACACACACCTACACACTGTACAACACGCGCCTACACACTGTACAATACGCACACCTACACACTGTACCACACACACGCCTACACACTGTACAACACGCACCTACACACTGTACCACACGCACCTACGCACTGTACAACACGCACCTACGCACTGTACAACACGCACCTACGCACTGTACAACACGCACCTACACACTGTACAACACGCACCTACACACTGTACAACACGCACCTACACACTGTACAACACGCACCTACACACTGTACAACACGCACCTACAGCTCCTAAAGCATATAATATATATCAGGCTACAGCCGTATATTATTATGAGAAGCAGTAAATGGTCTTAGAAAAATGTCGACTCTTTGTTTGTAGATATCTACTAAACTAAAGCAAATACAGAGAGTAATGTAGGCCTGTTATACTGAGTGATATATATTATACACACTGCTCTGCTTTCTGCACAGACCACAGCTGTTCTCACTGTAAACATCACGTCACGATTCAAGCAGTTAATAAAATAATATCCAGGGGATGCATGCAGAGCTGTCATTGGCTGAGATAAGTCCGGCCGTGCGCCACGACTGTTTTAAACATCACTGTTGCCGAAAATACATCCGTGGAGGACCCATCAGTGTATCCTCGGTTATAGCTCCTCCAGAGAGCCTCCTCGGCGCTCGATCCTCGGTCCTCGATGTGCATTTAGAGAAATGAGATGTCCTTCAACATGGCGCGCTGAAATCCATTTCCGGGTCACTACCGGAGGACCGAGGATTCGAGGAGCCGAGGAGGGGAAATTAGAGAAATTAGAAACCATAGAAAGAGTGAATAGTGTAAAAATGTAACTAACGGATATCACCAGGACATTTTCTGATAACTTGCATCAGAATAATTATGTTTGTTTAAAATATGGAAATAGAAATGCATGATCTATTATTGTTCTAGCTAACATACAGTTCCAAAACAGAAATCCGACCATTTGATGAAGCCAGTTTCAAAACCTTTTAATTGTTTGGTTAACATGTTAGAGTCTACGTTTTTTACAGAGGGGATTTCGATATCGCTATGTATAACTATAAAAAAAGTAAAGAATATACTCTACAGCCATAAAATATATATATTTATAGAATGAAAGGTGATATAAATCAGGCTACGAAAAGCATGACAAATGTTTTTGTCTTATATGTGTCCACCACAGCCACACTTAATGTGGGCGGTACAGCAGGAACACTTTTATTCTGCTCACAGTCTGAGCCATATGACAAACTGTCTGGTGAAAGCTTGGACTCCTCTCTGCTCACGAGCCGACATCGACTTCTGATCTAAAAATATGCATGAAAACAGACAAACAAAACAGAATAACAAGAATATATTTAGAGATGCTTGTGAGGCTAAATGAGGAAAATAAGTATTGATTGCTTGACTAACATTGAGTCACCACACACACACACCCCCCCACACACACACAGAGATGAGTGGTGATGATGCAGGTGGCTGAATCCTCAGAGGGAGTCATTTATGTGGTGTCTGTGTGTGTGAGTGTAACAGTGTGTATGCTATCTGAGGCTCTGTTAGTGCTGCAGAGGCTCTGAGGAGAAGCAGAGCGCAAGCAGCGATGATAGAAGCTTCTAGATGGCTGGAAGCAAGAAAGTGCACTCATACTTTGTTGTAATGGTTAATTTATAATCCCCTCTCTCTCTCTCCTGTGCAAGAGCTGGCCTCATTTTTTTTCATTTAATCAGTAATGAAGCACTGCAATGAGCACCTACAGTACAGTCCGGTGTAGTTTTGCTCCAGGAGTTGAAACAATAGCTTGGTTATCTGTGATTGGCCTAATAATAAATCCACCAATCGCTGCAGGGCCGGGCGCCGTGCCAGATGCCCTGCTGTGGCAGAAGGGAGGGGGGGAGGGAGGAGAGGGGAAGGAGGGTGAGCAAGAGAAGGCACCTTGAGTGCTGCTCCGATCTCTCCCACAGGACGACACATGCTCTGTCCACTGTGTCTCCCACACACACACACACACACACACACACACACACACACACACACACACACACACACACACACACACACACACACACACCACACACACACACACACACACACACACACACACACACACACACACACACACACACACACACACAGATATTACATGTAGGCATGCAGTACTGAAGTAGCCCATGGGGCAGACAGTTTGACCTACATCTGCCGCAACAACTAAAAGAAAAGCTTTTTATTTTCTCTCTGACTCGCTGGAGGGGCGTTCGGTACAAACTCATGCTGTGCAGCCAAAGCTTGTTCTGTAGGGGTCAATTATTTGTGACAAAGTACTTTTTGGGTTAATACAATTATAATCTAAATTGTGTTTTTTGTATCAGTAACACTTGAGTCAATCTAGCACTTAAGAAATGATGCTGGATTATTAATTATGAACTTTCTTTCTTTCATTTTTTGATAGTATAACAACATAAATATAGTAAATGGAAAAGACATAAAATGAAACAATTTCAGCAACACAGATGATGAAATAGAAATACAAGACCATGAGATATGAACAGTATATAAAATAGAATACCCAAAATACGTGTTAACCTTGCATTGATAAAAAGCTTTTTTTATAAAAGTTAAGCTCAACTAGCTGTGATTGACTTTCTATTATAATTTATATTTAGGAGAATACAAACTGCACTCAAAGTACAAAGTATTTCTCTATAATCCAAAAACATGCAGTAGAGCTGGCAGTTTATTTTCAACCCCGAGTTATGTCTGAAGGTATTCCTCCAACCACCTTCACCAACAAGGTGGGAAGCCTGTATGTGACTATTGCCCCTTTCACACCAACGCGTTTTCAACGCCGGCTCGGAGCTAGAGCCTGAAAAGTACCGGTTTTTCCTGTTCACACCGCAGCAGCGCCGCCTCTTAGCTCCGGAATCCAGTTCGTTTCCAGCTCCAAAAAATTGTCGGTCTAGAAGCAAGACTCCGGAGCTAATGAATGGAGCAAGTTTCATGAATGTGACACTTTTATTTTGTAAGATAGCAAGGGGGGGCATATTGTGATAACCAGGCCTGTCATAAAATGCACCCCCACCCAAAAAGATGTTTGTATTAATCCCACCCTCAAGCATTTTTCAGGGTATAGTTGTAGGACTAGTACCAATGAATGGAGCAAGTTTCATGAATGTGACACTTTTATTATGTAAGATAGCAAGGGGTGTATAACGTGGCAAAATATGCTGACAAAGACTATGTAACATTTGTAAACATATATTTTGATTATTATATGACAAATATGTAAAATTAAACAATACATTTTAAAGCACGTGTATACAGACAGGACGTAACAATAATAAGAAAAAAGCTGAAAAGGAAGTGACGAATGAATTTAGACACCACTACCATCAAATACGGAGCGACAAGTTTAACCACAAGAATCAAGACTATATGAGCTACCACTAAACAACTCACAGTCTGAAAATTACCATTAATAAAAACCCTGAACGTTTACTTTTCGTTTTAAACATCGTTTTAAGGTGTAAACGTGTCATTTGGAAATGCGCGTTCCCGTGACAAGGGGGACATTTCATTATGGGGGTGCATAATTTGACACAACACCGGCTCTGAGTGGTGTGAACAAAGCGGGAGCAGAAAAGGGAAACCGGAGCTGAACCAGAAAAGCTCTAGCTCGGAGCTAGAAGGGGAAAAGCGCTGGTGTGAAAGCCGCATTTGAGAGTCTTTGAGTTTTCAAAAATACAAAAAATGTCAGGAGGCATTTTGTTGACACGTGTGTGTGTGTGCACATGACCTTTAGAATATTTCCATTTCATGTAAATGTGCAGCCCTAAAAGGCATAAAGGATTTGAATATTCAAATGACTTTGTACATCATATGAATGTAAAAGAAGCCTCTACAGAATATGTATATGAAGCAGCTGCATGCATACAGCACAGAGTGGAATGTATTATCTTACCTGGGGAAATCCTTTATATTAATCCTCAGATTCTTGAATGAATTATTAAAGTGGTTGTAATCATGCTGTGCTTGTTCGCACCCGTTGGCGCATAGAGTTCCCGTTAAACCAGGAATCGTTAAAGTTCCTTTTTAGTAGGTCAGAGCCAAGCCTGTGGGAATAACATCTAAAAAAGGAAGTATGCTTTTGAATAAGATATAAGCGCAGGGAAAATCAGGGAGGTGGTTTGGGAAGATTTTGCCTTACAGTGTTTTTTTTGTGTTTTCTCAGATTAAAGGATCCTGGTCGGGTAAGAACCGAGTCCAGAACCCGTACAGCCACAAGAACTGCTTCAAGAACTGCTTCGAGGTTCTCTGCGGGCCGACGTTCCCGAGGTAACTGTCGGATTAAAACACGAAACAAACAGAATCCATCATCTTTCGTGGTTAATAAATTGTCTAGATGCCTATATTAGGTTTTCACTATGTTCCAGTTTTATCAAAGAGCTCTGTTCAAAGGCTTTATTGTCATATGCACATCGAAAGTGTAGTTATAGTTAAAAACAATACAAATAGCGCAATAGGAACCAGTGGAAATAAATGAGTGCAAGATGATGTTGCAAGACTAATGTGCACTTAATGTTGGAGAGGTTAACTATATACAAGTAAAATAGAATGTCAATTGAAATGCTGTACAGTGAAATAAAACACTGCTTATTGTCATAATAGATAGATCTGTGAGCTGCGACAGTGAGTGTGTGTGATAGATTAGTCGGTAGACGTGTCTCTCTGCTGCTCCTCACCCTGCCCGGTAACGAGCCGGTTGCCGTTGGTGACCGATGGCCTTGTCCCCGCAGCGTGTTGGACAGGAGAGGACTGATGCAGGAGGATTCATGTGTTTCTGCTGCGTCTGCTGCACCCCCCCCCTCCAGCAGCAACCCAGTGTCACAAACCACGGTGAGCACACACACACACACACACACACACACACACACACACACACACACACACACACACACACACACACACACACACACACACACACACACACACCCGCCCCCCCTTCACACACTTCTCTGGCTCTAAAGTGAAACGAGGCTGCAGAGCATAGGATAGTGAATACAGAGTAGACATAAAACAGTCTAAACCAATTACAGAGGATGTTGGAGAAAGTGGGTGTGGTGTGTGTGTGTGTGTGTGTGTGTGTGTAATCAAACTGACAGGTAATCCATCTTGAGACACACTGATGTTGAGCCATGTTATGTCTCTTTATATAGTCTATTATTTATCTATTTATTATTTTTATTTTGTTATATTTTCTGCTAGGCTACATCATTAGTCGTGTTTGCAGCGGAGGAAGACACATACCGACCTTTAACTTAAGTGCTAATACCATGGTGTAAAAGTAATCTGTAACAATTAGAAATGTGTACTAGCATCAATGTACATCAGGGCTATTCAATTAGTTTGGAATGGGGGCCGGTTGATGAAAATGATCCAAAGCAAGGGGCCGGGAAAAAGATGGCTTGAAATATGAGCAATCATATTTAAGAGCTTCAGATACAGTAAATACTACAACAGCATAGTGGAGTGCATATATTGTGTTTAATTCAATCAAACAACATAGCCCCAAGGCCTTTATAGATCTAAATGGCAAGTTCAGAACTCAGTAGGCCTACATGTTTCATTTGATTTCATTTAGGTGAAATTATCTAATCATTCACGCAGAGATGCAATCAATGACAGGAGTTGTCACTACAGTATAGTAGGTGGGTTCGAAACCCGAGCCCGTCGAAGTTTTCAGGCATTGTCTACCCCTCTATCTCTCAATGTAACACCCTCTCTGGAATAAAGGCATTATGGCAAAAAAAAAAAAAAAAAAAAAAAAAATCTTAAAAAAAAAAAATTGATGACTTTTTAACATTATACTCAAAGGGTCAGTAAATATCACCCCGGGCCGGATTTGGCCCGCGGGCCGCCAATTGAATAGCCCTGATGTACAGGAATACCCAAACTAAAAGTACTTTTAACGCAGAATGGCCCATTGAAGAATAATGCACAGTATACAGTATTACACTGTTATAATATAATAATCAATGCATTAATGTGTGTTCACTTTCAGATGTGGGAGGATTGAGATCTTGTCCTTGAGTAATAGTAGAAGTACCAGAGTGTAGGAATACTCTGTTACAAGTACAAGTCCTGCATAAAAAATGTTACTTGAGTAAAAGTACAAAAGTATTAGCATAAAAATATACTTAAAGTACTCATTCTGCAGATGGGCCCATTTCCACATGATATATATTATATATTTTGATTATAATTATTGATGCATTAATTGCTGTTAAAAGTGCAGCTGGTTTTAATGACGTTGTCTACTGCAGGGTAGCTTGTGGATTTACTCCAGGTGTTACTAAAGTCTGATTCAAGAGTTGATTATATTTCACATCATTAATCAAAATCTGTGAAGTAACTAAAGGTATACACTAATTTTAGTGGAGTAAAAGTACAAAGTAGCATAACATGGAAATACTCAAATAAAGTACAAGTATCTCAACATTTGACTTAAGTACAGTACTTGAGTAAATCTACTTAGTTACTTCCCACCTCTTATCACTTTCATGTCGCAGCAGGTAAAGCTTTGTTGGTGTCTGTTGTCTGCAAATATATTTATATATATAGAGTTATCTTGGAAATGAAGTGTGTTGGTTTTAACCATATACTGAAAGCAGCAGAAAGGCAGAACTGAATTCACCTTTATGTCTGTTTATTTCTCGATAGATATATCAATTTAATACTAAAATGGTGAGAGAAGTTTAGCCAGTTATACTGAAGCTAAAAATGCCATGCTTGTTGTTTGCATGTAATTCCTTCAGCTTTGCTGCAGCTCAGTTCCTCATCAGTGTCTCTTTCTGCAGAAAACCACGGCTCCTCTCATCCGCAACGAACACACACCTGATGAGGCCAAGCCGAGCATCGCCGCCCACGAGGAGAAGAGCTCCTCCCCCAGAGAGGAGAAGAGCTCCTACCCCAGAGAGGAGAAGAGCTCCTACCCCAGAGAGGAGAAGAGCTCCTCCCCCAGAGAGGAGAAGAGCTCCTACCCCAGAGAGGAGAAGAGCTCCTACCCCAGAGAGGAGAAGAGCTCCTCCCCCAGAGAGGAGAAGAGCTCCTCCCCCAGAGAGGAGAAGAGCTCCTCCCCCAGAGAGGAGAAGAGCTCCTCCCCCAGAGAGGAGACTCCGAAGGTCCCGCCCCTGGCTTCACCCGAGCCTGACGCAGAGGTGTCCGTCAGCAAGGGCCCGGCCCATTAGCTGCATGAGGGGGGGGGGGGCTCTGATCCTGGCTGGTCAGGAAGTGAAACATTATCGACGTGTGATGACTGTGCGGGGGACTCAGTTATCCTCCGACGCCCGCCCCACATTCCTCCAGGAGAGCAGGGTTTCTGCAGCAGCTCCTCCTCTCCCCCCCCCCTCTCCTCACCCGCAGATTGACAGTGCAGGAGGGGCATCGATTTAATGTAAAGTCAGCAGCTTCCTCTGTCTCCTGCACACTGCATGGAAAAGACACGCAGGGGGAGAAGCTGCAGGACGAACTGCAGAGAGAAATAAAAAAACTCTCCGAGCGTTTGACGTCCCAGCAGGCCACCTGTGGGATTATCACTACTGCTTCTGTTCTTTATTTAAAATATTGCGTAATGACATTTATTGTGAGAGGCCAGTTCAAATATATTCCTTGCAAGTGTCTGGCAACGACGATATTACTTCTGGACATGTATAAAACTCCATTTATCTGTTGTGTGCACATTACATGCCCTATGCAAACATACAGAGGCTGGACGTGCAGCTTTTTGAAGAGAAGGGTTAACGGCAGGAGTCCAGGAGGACGATCCTTAGCTGACAGATTAAAGGCTCCTTCCAGGCAAGTCCAATCTACCTTGTTTTATGATACTGCTGCATTCAGTACTGTTATAACTTACATGCATTACTTTTTTTTAAGAGATCCAGACCAACGCCTGTCCTTCCATTTTTATAAATCCAGGATGTAGTGTGACATCGGTGCTCTGAAGTTGCTTAACGTGAAGTCTTTTATCCAGGAGACGCTCAGTCCCACTGTGTGAGAGGAAAGGTCTGACTTCTGATGATAGTAGACACTAGTAGTAACAGTGCCTTATCATAACAGACGCACCAACAAGTGCAACTGAAGTCGACCAACAGATAGATCCGTTCATGCCACTGATAGACAAATGCCAACGTTTATTCTTCAAAGTGTTCAGTGGTTCCCAACCTGGAGGGTAAGAAAAATGGGGTCATAACATGAGGAATGAGTGGGATTAAGGTATCATTTGACTATTTGGGAAGTAGTTTATTCACTTTCCTGAAGAGTTGGATGAAAAGATTGATATCACTACAACATATGTACAGTAAATATGAAGCGACAGCTAATAGACAGTTAGCTTAGCTTAGCAAAAAGACTGGAAACAAAGGGAAACAGCTAGCCTGACTCTGTCTAAAGGTAGAATATCAAATTTAACACAAAGGTCCACAATTTACACAAATGTTTATTAGGATAAAATAATGACGCGATGATATTTTGAACAGACCGTAAATGAAGTACATTTTCTTAAAGGGTTTTTAGCTGGAAAATCACAAAAATAAATCGTAGAAGGAAAATAAGCGCTCTGTTTGAACTGCTGGTTGACTTATGGACATGCTAAAAAGGTTGGGAACCACTGAATTAGACATTGTAAAGCAAAAACGTAGTGAAGCCGTGTTGAATTGTACATATTTCTGCAAGGTAAAGATGTCAGCTGATTGGATAGGAGGAGAGACTAAAGCAAGGTTGTTGTTTTTTTAGCATTTAAGTGCAGCCGGTGTTATTCCCGCTGCCTTTGAGCTCCAGCGCCTCCTCCTGCTGATCTTCCTCCTCCTCCTCCTCCTCCTCTCTCTTCCTGTTACTACATATTTAACACTTCTCCTTCTCCTCGCCTCCTTGTTGTGACAGTGCACCTAAAGCCGAGGTCTCCACTGCAGCCGTCTGTGGCCGCATCATTAAAGCATAAAGAGCCGAGGCAAAGACGTCCTTTCTCTTCACACTTCTGTGTATTTCAGACTTCAAAATGGCTGCAGAGTTTATTTGTTTTGGTCACAGGTCGCTCGAGGGGACAGCATCCACACCGAGGAAAGAGAAAGAGTTATTCTTAGTATTTAAATGATGTTAGCTGATAGCGAGGGTTTGTAATAGTTATTGTGTTGTATGCAAGACAGAGCTAGTGTTTGTGAAATTTACCTGTGTAGAAGTTCTAGTTTGTCAACAGCATTGTATCAGAAATATGCCTGAGATTATTTATTACTAAGTCACAGTTTCTCCTGAAGATCAAAACATCTGCCAAACAAAGAGTGGAAACGTTTGATTATTTATATTGTACCGTAATAATGGAGCAGTTTAGACACTTTGGATGATAAAGATTCATCTTGGCCAATATTCTTCATTCTTGTTTAAAATCTGTGGATGAGTTTCTTGATTATCGGCTAACCCTTTGTCAAAAAAATATTTGGTTGACATATTGAAGTATTTAATTTTGTCCAACCAGCTATTCAGAAACCCTTCGAAAATCAATGAACTTTCAGAAAATATTTATATTTTAAAAAGCTGGAACTTGCACAATTTCAGCAAAAAAATGTGTGCAATTAATTTCCTGTCGATATATTGACTAACAGTTTTAGCTCCACATTAATCTCTACATTAGGATGAAAAAAGGAGAGATGACAGACTCACCCCCGCTGGAAGAAGCTGTAAAGTGTGTGACAGTATTGTTTCTGTGAAGTATATAAAAAAAAACAGCTGAGTATTTGTTGGGAAAACTTTTTAATAAGAAGGTTTGAGACTAGTTTTTAAAGCTGAATTTAGCGGCTGATCTTTCTTTGTGGAAAGTATTTGAAGACAGTTTGGTGTATTTGATTGATTTGCTGTCACCGAGAAGCAAGAATGTATGTGATTGATATTCGATGAAAGAAGAGACGGGAGACTTTAAAAGGGACGGATGAAGTATGATTTTTTGGCTCAAGCTGAGCTCCTGTACGTATGATTCTTGTGTTAAAATGCCATGACGGTCAGATCTGAATGCTCTGATCAATCTATTACATGATGTATACAGAAACAGTAATATACCATCGATGATACTCTTTATTTATGTTCACTTTGTTAAGTATCAGCACTGTGACTATTATGTGTTTCATTCAATTTAATTCACTTCTTTTTACATGATCAATGTGTCTGGTAAATAAACAATATTGTCTTATTTGTCTTTTAAAATATGTTTTCTTTACTCTTATACAGAGTTCTAGAGGGCGCGATGCAAATGAAGGGAAAAGACTATTACATACAGATTCGCGCTGCATTTAGCAAGAGCAACAACAGAACATGTTTACACGAGACACTTGGCGGAGTTCACACTTGCACACACACCTTTTTGATTATTATTAGACTTAAAAGATACACACAGTTAATTGTAAAACCAGCAACATGTTAATGGTTGAAATTACAATATTAACTCTCTGTACACATAATGGGTGACAAGCTAATGAACTAGCTAAACTAGTTAAAGGGGCCCTATCATGCTCGTTTTCACTTTCATATTTGTATGTAGTGTCTCTACTGGGACATGTCTCCATGCTTTAATGTTCAAAAAGCTCTTTATTTTTCTCATTCTGCCTGTGCTGCAGCACCTCTTTTCACCCTCTGCCTGAAACCAGAGCCCCAGTCTGCTCGGATTGGTTAGCTGGCCAGCTCTGTTGTGATTGGTCAACCCCTTAGAGATGTCCCGCCCCTTAGCCTACAATGTGTTGGAGCGCGAGTGTTACATATTTTAGCCTATGCAGACAATTTACATGCACAAAAACCTTTATAACACATTATAGGAAAGGGAAAACCTTTAATTACAGAAGTATTATTTATGCTATCAAACCATTAATCTCTCTGTGAAAGAAGAATCCCGTCAAAAAGAATGTGCATTAACTTTGAAAATCAAGTTGAAAATGCGGTTTGTTTTTCTGTTTTAGTGTTATTTCCATGTTTTCAATAGGCGGTCGGAAGTATTTTGAAATGTAGTATTAGTATTTTTACTTCAGTAAAGGTCAGACTACTTATTATTCCTCTGCCCACTACAGTATTAATACAATCATTTGAAAACAAGTGATCTTTTATGAATGAATGAATCACTTTTGTAAAAGTACAATGTTTACTCTGCTGCTCTTTCCATATATCAGATGTTACCTCTGTCTTCCTGGCACACAACACTCATATGTACTGCCATGATATTGTTGGTGTGTAAGGAGTAACATGCAGAGATTCACACATCAGAGCAAACAGCAGAGGATTGTTTTCATCTCTAAATAGGATTTGGTTTCAGTGTCTTCACTTCCACAAAGTCTGCAGCATGTTTGTGATCGTTGCATTCTCTATTACTCTTAGTAAACCAACAACAAATGTAAGGGTGACAATGTTTTACAGATCATCCGATAATACAGGTCCTTTGTTTAACTGTAATGTCTTCCAAACTACCAGGTAATAAATTAAATAGTATGGATGTACTTTATTTCCCCCACATTTCATTAAGCAGATAGATGTTAAAGTTCTGTATCAGAAGACTAAATGTAGAGTATGCCAACTTTGTTCAAACATGTTTTCTATTATTGATATTTTTGTGTATTACTGTACTAAGATTTAAGACTTTTCATGACATACTATGAAATTACTTAAAACGTATTTGACATACAATTCTAGGATTTTAATCTATCTTTCTTAAAATAAGTTGTTATGACATACAGTACAATAACTTTCTCTTTACTGAGTTTTAAAAGACATGCTTTGAGTTTTTTTAAATGTGTAAATTATATTTTGTATAACCCACATTAGTAAGATTTCTTTAATGACAATGTATTCTAATTTAAAGGTCACCTATCATGCTATTTTTAGGCAATAGCATAGGTCTCATATATAAAAATATATAAAAAACATGTCTATGAAGTGTTTTGCTCAAAATACCAAACAGATCACCCATTCTAGCCATGCCTCATATCCCTCTATTTCACTTCCTGTTTCTAAAGTGATGATTTGGGGTATAAAGCTTTAAAAAAATAAAAAGGAGGGGGCTGAGCTCATGCAGGACCCGGCAGCTACTGTCTAAACTAAATACTGCCGTGATGAAACGCATGGATTATCAAAGATTATTTCTGAAACAGTATGGAGCTCAAAGGCTTTCTCTCTTGCCGGTTATACCACAAGGTGAGTTCCTTTTTATTTCCTGCTTCTTCACACACGCTCTCCAGTACAGGTTAGCTCTGAGTGTTAGCGATGCTAATGTAAACATGCACCGACCATATTACGTCCAAAACAGTCGGGCATTGTTTCTGATAGCAACGTTTCTGATAGGGCCGTGGGTGTAAAGCCAGCCTACATTTCAGATATTACGTCATATCGGACGCAAATCTGGATCAGCTCCGTTGTAGCCCTGTTTTTAGAGATTTGGGTGCGGAGGAAAAGAGAGAGGGTTTTATTTTCTGACGCTGCGTGAGTTCCCTGACACACCGGGCGGGGACACATATTTATGTATAAAATACATCAAAAAGTTTGCATGATAGGTCCCCTTTAAGATATTAGATACTAAGCTATGATTGTTTTTATTTACTTATTTTAGGACATGCAAAACTATTAATTTTTTATATTTTTCAAAACAGGCTATACTTCATTTTTTTATGACAATATGCTTTTTTAAAGATATTTTTCCATGAAAAACTATATATAGTCTATGGATAATATAATTGAATGACTTTTAAGTACACATCTTTTTTAAAGACATATCTGTTTTATGTAGTCGAGAGCTCTGACAACTGAGTTTGTACTCGCTAGTCAACAACAACTTCTCAGTACAGTTTTATTCAAAGTATTTACAGCAACTGTTCACAACCTCCTCGTAATGCAACATAAATCAGTGAAAGAACCTCAATACACATTTAAAAGCAAACTACTACAAGTTACAATAAAACTCAAGTTACATCTGAATATATTTTACATTCATATGTGTATGAGCATTCACCACTAAAAAAAAAGAATGACATTGTAAAAATGAAGAAAACATGACCTGAAAAGGCTTAATTTGTACATGACAATGAAACAATACCCTCAGGAGGAAACATGTTCATTATACAGCGTACCTATAGAAGCTGTGCGGCTTCTTCCAGTAAACGGAGACCCTCATTTCCTGCAGTATTTGAACCTTACACTGTGTTCCTATCAGCAGTCCTCTCTGTATGAAGGGACATTTTTAACGGCATCACACCTCGCTCCACAAAGTCCAGAGAATCAGATTGACAAAGTATTTCTCCGTCACTCCTCAAGATTTCTCGTCCACCGTCAGCTCCTGCAGCTGCTCCTGCATAGCGTCCAGCTGCTCCTCTTCCTCCAGCTGCTCCTCTTCCTCCTCACCTCTCTGCCCCTCTGAAGCTCCCTCCTGCTCCTTCTCCTTCTCGGTCTTCGGCTCCGCTCGTGCGCTCTCCAGGTTCTCGGAGCTCTCGAAGCAGCCGGAGTCCCTCGGCTCCTTGGCCTCCTCCTCCTCAGGCTCGGACTCGTCGTCAGCTACACAGGGCAAAGAATCAGATTTAAATACTGAAATACAATCTTCCTTCCTCCTACAATCTTGTTCAGCTGCAGAGAGGAACTTTAGATTCATAAGATAAGATAAGATGGACCTTTATTAATCCCTGTGGGGAAATTCAGCTGTACATAGCAGCAACAGGGTAAGCGTGAAAAAACAGGACAGCAAAGATTCACACAGATTAATAAAATCAAGAATTCTTTTTTAAATAATGATGACAATAATAATAATAATAAAAGACTATGAAATAGGAGATGAGTAAAAATAAGAGTAAAATAACTGTCAGCATATATACGTATTTGGTCATCTAAGTTATGAAGTAGGAAATGAGTTCAAGTGACAAGTGAAAAGTGAAAATGGACATCTGTACATATAGTGACATATCTATCTACATCTTTGGTCTACTACTAATATATTAGCATGGGTTGTGGAAACAGTGTATATTTGTGTCCAGTGATTTTATTTTATTTTATTTGTGTGAGCTGAGAATAAACACAAAGGCACAGACCGCTACGATACGTTTTAATTACCGTTATGTGGGATGTTTTTGGCTTTTACGTTGAATTCTCAAGTCTTTTCTTGTATGGTTGTTTTTCCATATATGTACATTAATTAACATCTTTGTGGGATTTTCCTAATAAGAGGAGTGTATTCAATGCCCATTTTTATGTTGCCATGTTTTCCTACTTCTTGACACCAGAGGCCTGTACTACGAAGCTGGTTCAACTTAACCTGGATATGTTTGAGTTAGCCGGTTGGCCTAAGCCAAAACATACGCGCTGGCGCTAAGCTGTACTACGACGCCGGTTATCAAGTGGATCGCTCAAGCCAGCCGTGTCCTATCTAGTTAGGTGCGCGTTCACATGAAAGGGGTGGTATTTGGAGCATTCGACCAATCTCAAACACGGACAAGCGTACTGACAGCGCAGCGTCATACTTCCTGAATGAAAAGTGAACTTTAATATTAGTCAAATATGAAGAAGTTAAACTTTAAACATCCATGACTTAAACACTTTATCCAGGATAAAAGCCACATAGCTGCACCTGCAAGGTGAATACAGCTGGTAAAAGAAAAAGTGTTTGAATGCGTACATTAACAGGTTTATGATATCACTGCCCCGTCTAAAAGACACGAGTGGATCTGACTTTAATTAGGAGAATTTGACTCGAGTGTTTCGTCAACTTAATGTGTTGCTTAAAATAATACTTCTGCATACAGTATGTGACACTGTGAGTGTTGCACGGCCAGATACGGCTCAAGAAGCTGACTCAGATAAGGAAATATATGATACATTATGATGTGATATGATAGATAATGGGACACATCTACGTCTGCACTCACAGTGCCGCGGACTGTACTTAATGTTACTCTGATCCGGTTACTTATGTCGTGGCAGATATTTAAGTAAGCTTTCTTAACGCTAATATTATAATAGTCAGATTGCTCTGAAGATGGGAGGGGATATTCTATGAATTTTCACATTCACACAGTCAGTTGATTTTTGCCGGCTGTCTTTCCTGCAATGGCAGTTTTTCTGTATTTCCTCTATCCTGTAATATGACTTGATCGCTTTAAACTCCGCACACACGGAGCTCTGATTGGTCAGCAGGCGGTGCTTTCACTGAGTTGATCTCTTAGCCTGCAACCTAACCTGCTCCGGAGCAGGTTTGCCGCTCAGCATAAGTTACCATGGAAATCTAGCCTGCTAAAAAGAGAACCAGCGTCGTAGGACCGGAAAGCCCGAGATTTCCCTGAATTTAGCCGGCTAAGCGAAAATCCAGCTTCGTAGTACAGGCCTCTGGTAGTGGCTACAAGAAGCTAAACAGGTTTCAGTGTTTTTGGCTTACCTATCAAATTATCATTATTTTCTAACAATGCATTGTCATTTTTTTAGTAATAGACTTGTCTTATTGTATGATATTTTCTTATTTTGATTTAATTTCCTGTTCTATGGAAGCTTTAATTACTCATTTTAAAAGCATTGAAATCTCCTGTCATAATGTGTTCCTGATGTATTTGTTTACGTTGATGTTTATGTAAAGCACTTTGAATTGCCTTGTTGCTGTAATGTGCTTTAATAATGAACTCGCTGCAGCTAATTGTAATGCTAATCCTTAAAGTCTTTTCAACAAATAGCTGTAAACCGGTGTTCAGATCATTAGTGATGGATCGTCTGGAGCACACACACACACAGTATGATGGTACAAGCGACTGAGCATTAATCAAACTGAGTGTGACGCTGTGCAACGGAGCCATACAATGAAGCTCATTATGCAGCTGAGGCAGAAAAAGGTGATGAAGCATGAAGTATCCCCCAAAGACACCATTTTCTGTGATATCCGAGTGGCACACGGACTCTGAAATGATCATTAGTGGGATATTTCTCTCAGCTTCTGGATCAGAGGTGTATTTTTTAAAGGTTTTTGCAGATTACAGTGTTTGCCCTTACAGTCTCTCAGCAGCTCAGAGGCGCTCAGGATCTTGGAGCGAGCGTCCGGGTCCGTGATGTTCAGCTCGTTCAGGTGAGACTGCTTCAGCCCTGCAAAGTCCTCGAGGCTCTGGAAGCCGTGCATGGACAGCAGAGAGCTCAGCTCCTGAAACACCAACAGCAGCGTTTAGACAGATATTTATTCATATTCTTCCTGCAGTGGTGGCACAGTGAGACTCTTACCGTGAGGCCGATGCTGTCCAGAACCTCCTCCAGGGATTTGGGTTTGGATTTGGACAGCCGGTTCTTGCTGTTGCAGCGTCTCCTGCGGGCGGGGGGGCTCTCGTCGGGCAGCAGGTTGACGTAGATGAACTTGAAAGACCCAATTTTGTTGTTGAGCTTCCCGCTCCACGTCCCCACAGGAGGCTTCTCGATGATGTGGATGATGTCGCCTTTCTATAAGAGAGATGACGCATCAGCACCATGAGTCATGATGAGGACAGCAGGATGAAGGACACCAAAAAAAAAAGGATAGACAAATGAAAAGCTTGAGAGCAACATCTGTCTGGTTGTTTGTTAAGTCTTTAAAAATATGAGGGTTGTATTGAATGACTTTTTTTCATTCAAAGCTTCTATTAAAAATTACATTTGATGGTGCCATTAGACGTCTTATTTCCGCCCTGTTATTGAGCCTGTCTCCGTTTGTGTGCATCGAGCAAAGAGTTGTTTCTAAAGGCTAATAAATATGGATAGAAGCAGAATAGTATCCTTGTTGTGAACTTTCAAAATGTTTGCGTCGATCACTTTTGAATTTTCTTTTACCTTTGGACTTTACCAAAGGAGATATAGAGATTGTCTGGATCAAATGAGTCTCTGAAAACACAATCCCTACTAAAATGACCTTATCTTGTGAAACAGACAGTCAGTAATGTGGCGTTCAAACACTTAAAAGATATCAGAGAAACAACCCGTCTGCTCGGTTTCTCTGCCCGATAAACATTCCTGTTTGTCATCTTGCAATATACTTATTTATATAAATAGTTATCACCGCAATAAACCGTATTTAAATTTTGTCTTAATTTACATTATTTATTTTCATATTCTGTTCTTGTACATATCCTATTGACATGTATGACTTGTTGCACTACTTTCTATTTTGTATTTTATTATATATGTTGCATTGTTGGAGGAGCTCAGGTCAGAAGAATTGCATTGCCATTTCTACACTGTAGCTTTGTGCATATGACAATAAAACCTTTGAATCTTGAGAGAGGGAGAGGAAGACCCCCCCTGAGACTCACCTGCAGTTTGAGCGACTCCACGTCGTAGGGGCTGGGGGTGAAGTCCGTGTGCACCAGAGCGCGGCCACAGAAGGGTCCGGAGTACGAGCTCTCCTCCAGCCGCATGCTGTCCCTCTGGCAGTACCCGCTGTCCAGGCTCTGTCTGTCGCTGCCTGAGGACACAGAGGAAGAGACTGAGCATTCACCAGGAAGATTCTTCAGATGAGGGGTTTTTCCCCCTCAACAATTTTGCCAGATTTTCAAACTGCCATGAATAGCCCGACACTGAACTCTTATTGAGCCAATACAATTCTGCCTATGAAGGGCTTTTCTCCTGCTTATTATTTGTTTTACTTCTATTCAGTGGTCATGACGATCGAGGCTTTTGGAACTACATTTCCCATAAGGGGATGTAGACAAAGGCAAAGTTAAATGACTATAATTGTAGACTTTACTTGTATGTAAGCAGAAGTGTCCCATTTATGTGCACTACATGAATATATATTGTAACAGCATATTCCTTCTTACTCTTAATTTTCTAATTTCTCTCCCATCCAATCTATTTTTATGTCATTCAGTTTCTTTTGTTCGTTTAGAGTGGGATTTTTTTTATTGCAACGTAACTAAGGACGCAACAAACACTACTACTTTATTTCATTGATACTGAAGAAAACTTTAAAATGTGATGATTCTCAGGCAAGTTTTAGAGGCATCTTCTACTCTCCCTCACAGTGAGAACCATCTGGATCTCAGATACAGATGTGCACTCACTGCCTGACAGCTGGCGGCTGAAGAGGGCCGGCGTGGCGTCCTCCGACCCGGTGGAGCACACAGACGTCCTCTGTCCTGCCAGCAGATCAGGCAGCCAATCAGAGGAGACCGGAGACAGCTCCTCTCCACTCTCACCCTGCAGAGAGTTAATCATGTTGAACTTAAACTAAAAGGTCCCATAATGATAACGATTTCCTGAGGAATTATTGTTACAACTGAAACTGAGAAATGAAGTAAAACCTATTAGACTAGTCAAAAATATAAACAATGCTTAAAATGTCATAAATGTAACTGTTTTAATCGGTCAGGGTGGAGACAATTTGTATTTGTTGGTCAATAACAGTGTGTCATATAGCTATCATATTTTTTGTGTGAAAAAAAATAAGGCTGTCAGATAAATGAATTGGAGTAAAAAGAGTACAATCATGGTCTCTATATTGTAGAGGATCGGAAATGTTAAGTGTCGTTAAAATTCAAGGCACTTACAATACAACACTTGGATAAATGTACTTTCAACGACTACAAAAGCACACACATTCGGCTTCTTTTGTAAACCACAGTACATACATTTGTCCACTAGATGGAGACAGTTCCAATCTTTTTGTAACAACAGCTGAACGAAAAGATGTCAAAGTTTGAAATGATAATGATACTGTTAGATACAGTGATCATGTAACTGTAGCTGAAGTGTAACAGTAAACAGGATCTTACCCCCTCCTCAGCCAGAGCCTTCTGCACCATCTTGGATGCTTTGCGGGTCATGGTGCGCGAGATGACTTTTCGCCATTTCTTTCCCAGTTTGCTGCCACTCTTCACTGCTTCCTCGACTGTGGCACACTCTGCCCCCTGAGAAGAGTGAGAACATCAATCAGCTGTTTGGAAATGAGAGGTGGCACAACTTTATTAGAATCAGGTCAATTGAGGTTTAAAAAAAAGCCCAAAATATGACATTAACAGTAAATCATTCTCACAGTGGTGTCACTGTCACAAATTCACTTCTCACAAACTAGAAAACATTGAGATTTTGTGGTAATGGGGTTTGCATTCCCACACACTGCAGATACCCACAAAGTGGTACACACCCACACCCACACACATAAACAAACACCTGTACTCTATTTCTGCTAAGTTCCTGAGAACGATACCAGACATAACTCTGCCTATAGACAAACACTGTGGACTCAGAAATGAGAGCTAATGATGTTTTAAGTATTTTCATTATGGGGCAGTCACAGTAAATGCATTGTGTGAAACTCTGCATTGTGTGAGGACCATTGACTAAGAGGACACAGAGGTGGAGTCCCCTCCATTTTGCCAAGGAAAAGAACGCAGATGGTCGGTTAGATGAAAAGATAATTGATTCACTCAGAAATATAGCTGTATTAAGGCTCTGTCACACATCCCTGAAATTACTATCCACCTTATGTTCACTTCTATCAAATAAAAAGGCGAAAAATATTAGCTTCTAACACTGAAGCATATTCGCAACTTCCTGTGCAGTGTGAGTTAAGTAAAACTTCCATATAAATATCACTTTGGTCACTTACCAGCATTTGAGCATGACACAGAGCCCTTTTGACCATTTTAACATTGAGCGTCCTTCTGTGGCTTCCTCAAACCGGCAGCTAATGATTTATTTTAAGATAGAAAAGTCCATTATAGTGAACTGTAACAGAGGCCTTTATGTATATGTAATACAGTACTATGCACTCGGATTCTCATGACAAACTTAACCTTTACAAGATTTACATCGATTGTGGGCTGTGGTCATGACTTTCTCTCACAAAACTAAATTGTGTGGTTTTCTTCAGAATCAGAAACGGGTTTATTGCCAGGTAGGTTCACACATACGAGGAATTTGACTTGATGTCGTGGTGCATACATAAAATATAAAACAAAGAAATCTCCATATAAAACAACAAATCTTTAAGGACACTGTAATAAAATATAGTTAAATAGCAATAAAATAAAGCAGTAATTTACAGCGAAATAGAATGTAATGAATTATAGAATATAAACTATGAAATAAGAATATGTGCAGTAAGCAGTATTGAACATTGTGTGCATTAATGTGATGCATATAGAGACTGCATTGTGGCTGAGGTAAAGTGTCAGTGAAAAGTGAAGAGAGTTAAGGGTTAAGCTTTCCAAATACTAGGCCTCCCTGGTAGATTAGTCGACTAAGATCCTTTAGCCAATTAGTCATTTCTTAAATGCTTTTTGGTACTGAATGACCTTTATCAAGTACATCTCTGGTTACACAAGATTTGAAGAGGTGCTTTTGCATGATTACTTGTGGAGAGACTCACTTTTAGAGACTTAAATAAATGTATCAATCACAACTATTCGAATAAGAACTTCATTTACTACTTAATACCCACATTGACAAACACACAGCTGCCACAGAGACAGAGGGATGTAATAACATTTGAATAAAAAAAGCCTGTCTTGGGGTAAAGCCACCTGGTTAGCTGCTTGCCGTGTCTGTCTGACACACAGGCTCTCTGCTTGAGAAACTCACAGACATCCTGTCTGCTGTCATGCTGCTGCGCTGTGTGCAATGCTTTGTGTTTTTACTTCCTCTCTTCTTCTACACTTCTAAGCTTATTTATCCTCCAACTTCCACTCAGGGTTCTCAGAACACTACTGGAAAGTGATTTAAGTTCTGTGAATTTAAAAAAAGGTGTTAACACATTCCCACACGTGAGGAAGTTCAAACTGTGTACTTCTGTAACAGCGACTGTGTACTTCAGTCTCTCCTCATGCAGAGTCATTTTGGTTTTGGGTATAATGGTCCCAGCAGGCCTAATGAGGAACAATGTGATAAAGGATCTGTCTTTTAGGAACTTAAAACACAAAGAGTTCAAAGATATCTACTTCTACTTTTCCAAACCGTACAAACAGTACAGTGTGTCTGATGTTTGGTATAACTTACATTCTCCTCTAAGGCCAACTCCCTCTCTGACACCACAGGAGAGGTGGGTTTGTGCTTTATAAAATCCTTGAAGCTGCTGGACCTCTGCAGAGAGAGCTGGAAACACACAGAGAATTGCATTTATTTGTAACTGGTGATACAAAAAGCTTAGAGCAAAGGGCCCTCAATAAAATGTTTACCGTAAAGCAAAAGGTGTAATCAAAAAGGCATTTCCAAAAAAAGGGTTGGCATGGTTGTTTGGTGGTTTTGACTGTAATGCAACACTGATAATGCTCATCTCACATTGTGCACACAATCTCTGCAAATGTGTGAACAGAATGAATCTTGGGGGGGGGGGGGGGGGGGGGGTTGGGGTTTCTCAGAAGCAACAACGGCCCGTGTTTCTCCCAGAGTTATTAAAGATAAAGCCATGAATCTGGGTCATGCTGCACTGTAGCTCAGCAAGACACAAAGCAAAATGGTTTTAAAACAAACTCAATGCTATTCTGTAAAGGCAAGTGGTTTTACATAAGTACACTTTCTGTTAATTCTTCCATTTTTTATTTCAAATTTGGTAATCTGCCAATTATTATAATAATTTGGTCAGAAAATAGTGACACATTTTCCCTCACACTTTACTGACATCTCAACATTTATCATTTTCTCCCAACATTCCTTTTTCAAAACGTCTTAACGTCTTAAGGAATTTTAGGCCTTTATACTTTACTTAAAGGATGAGTCACTTGTGGAAAAGGCTGCTGAAAAATCTGCTTGAATATGATTCAAATTAAGACTTATTTTTCACCAAAATAGCCAACTTTATTTTTTGACTCTTTTTAACAATGTTGCAATCTTCAGACTCCTTTAGTCCTAGTGGAAACTCTTTGTCTAATTTTCCATGCCATCACTCGTTTCTGTGCTTGATTTTATCGCAGCTCATCCTTCTCAATTCTTAGTTGAAACCACAGGAAACAAAGGGCAAAGCTTGAGCAACTGCTGGCAGCCAATCGCTGCAGACATCCAGTCTGTCTGCGTCTAACCTGAAGATTAAACCACCGCTGTGAATGCCCTCCATCATTATGAGGCTATTTCCAGTATTTCTGGTAAATGTCTCTTTTTCCTGCCACAGTTCTCCTGCCTGAAAAGCGTTAAGCCACAAAGCTTTCAGATCTATTACGGCTGAGAGTAGATCAGTGGATCAATGATGCTCTGCAGCCTGGATTAGGGCCAAGGAGAAGAGTGTGAAGAGACAGTTACAGAGAACAAAGACAGAGATGTGTTATAACGAGGCGTGAGTTGGACCACAGGAGTGTAGATGTTGATGGAAAGTAGGGGCACTGGTGTTGAGCGTAGGAGGCTCGCTCTCAACACACCAGAAGCCACAACGCCCGACATGACTCAAACTACATCTGCAGCAATGATTCACCCCGCCAGAATAGAGGAACCTTACTTTACAAAAGAACAACTGGGGCCACAGTATTTAGACAATTAAAACATTTTAAAATATAAAGATTGAGCTTTATGTTGTGTGTGTGTGTGTGTGTGTGTGTGTCTTTGTTCAGCTTCACCACAAAGGTTTGCAGACATCCTGTGTTGAGACGATGTGCACACAAAGACAGCTGTGCTAGATGTTGAAATGCAAACAAGTGTTTTGAAATATGTGATTAACACCTGTTCGCAATGGCAGTCTATAATATTTACGTTTTTTTTAAAAGCTCACATGAGGATGTTCACTCTAAACGTTCCAAGACAAACAAAAAAAACTCACCTTCTTCTTCTGCACCTGCTCCTTTTCCGAGGCATTGGAAGTCCTTCGCCTCAACATCTTCTTGTTCTTGTTCTTCTTCAGCGGTCCTTCAGGAGATTTCTCTGGACGTAAAGCTGAGGGAGCGATACACAGAGTGAGAGTTCCTGTCACCGTGCTGTCAATGCCAAAAGTTGTCAGATAAAAAAAAGGTAGAGCTGCGACTCCGCTGCAGCTGAACGGGGTGCAAGAAGTGGAGAGGAAGTCACGTGGCGACGCAGAAACTGAAGAGGCAAAACCCTGTTTTTGGTCCTCTGGTTTACACAGAGGGCAAAGGGTTTGTTGCAGGCTTTTTTCAGCCTTGCATGCTACAAGCTCTCAAACTGAACCGACTCACACTCACAACTCAATCTTGAATACCACTACAGATATAAACAAATAAAAAAGGTATAAAAGAAAGTCTTCCCTTCTTTGAATCCTGCTCGATTTAAAAAAAAAAAATGTGGTCAAATAATCAACCTCCAGTCTTATATTTATACTCAAATGTTCAGGTTGATAAAAATAAATGTCAAAACAATTATGAATAAGGGGCAGATGTTTAAAGCAGATACACATCGAAGTCACCTCTTGCTGCAGTGTCACTGTATTACAAAATGTCTACTGCCACAGAAGTTAGTTTAACTTCAGCAAAATCTCAAGTACATATATATTCTAATATATATCATTCCAATAACTTGTATATAGACTCGTACTGCACTATTCCACTTTTTTTTTTTCTCTCTCACTTTATTTTAGAACTATTTTTCTTTTTGTATTACTTTTACCATCTGTATTATTATGTTGCATTGTTGGAGAAGCCTGTGACCTAAGATTTTCAACGACATAATTACTCTGTAGCTATGTTAGTTTGACAATAAAGAACCTTGAACCTTGAAGTAGAAGTGAAGTAAAGAAAGATCTCCGTCATGCAACACAGCAGCTTTGAGTCATTTTTTTAAATTAATGTTTGTAGGTTCTGTGCTCAATCGAAAACACATTTGCCATACGGTAGCCCCTGAGGTGTGGAAGTGAAAGACAAATGTAAAGATGACATATTTAGAAACTCAGTAACGGCTTTGCAGCTGCAGCAGAGGAGCCACCACAGCTACAGGAGGCCAGAACAACACAGACTAATGATCAGACATACAACAGAGGGTATTCATACAACATGTAGGGAAAGACATGTACAAATATCCAAAACAGACAATTAGGACAAACAACTTGAGTGAGTCACAGAGATGTGCGTGCGTTTGGATGAACACTCAGCCTGCAGGAGAAGGCTACTATTGGCACTCGACGCAAAGAGGGAAGTCAAATGTTAGTCAACTTAGGCTTGTTATTTTTGGTGGGGTGGCAAACCACATGATAAGAGCATGCCCTATTTTAGTTTCCCGTCAGTCGACCTAAGGTTGTCAACAAACTCATCTGTCTGCAGATCGACAAAAACAATAAGCAGCAGATTTGGATCTACACTGAGGTTACCTGAAACCTCACAGGTAGTGGTGGAAGAAGAACTCGGATGATTTAAAAGCGATTCTACACTAGAGACACAGAAAAATAAAGCATTTCAAATGTTACTTCTCTTAAGTATTATCAGAAAAATATACAAAAAATATCAAAAGGCAAAAGTATCATTATGCAGAATGGGCCCTTTCACAATGTTAAAATACCATTACTTGTTATATGATATATATTTTATTATTATGATGCATTGTGAGCAGATTGTTGTTGCTGTAGTTTGTTAAAGCAGACCTTAATCATACTATTTTCTATATTGTTGGGTAATTGTATCTACAATGAATCCAATGCTAATAAAATGACCATATGTAAATGTCAAATATATATCTATAAAGTAACTATCGCTGACACATACAGGTAGTGAAGTAAATAGTAAAATATTGCCTGCTACAATGTAGTGTTAATAGCTTCACTTGTTCACTACTGGTCCTTGGATGGATGAGTATATGTAATATTTGGTTTAATACAACAATATAACTAACTTATAAAACTTGACTTGTGGATGTAAACTACAAAAAACCTATCCAATACTGCACTTGAAAAGGTAAAGAGGAACCCTATGGAGTTCATGACCACTAGCAAAGCTTTGACAGCAAAGGCAGATACAGTATGTCAAATATTTAGCTTTGCACATCCTTTATGAGGAGAGGAAGTAAATGCACTCATCAAGGTGAGTAACACTGAATGTTAACATGCTGTTTACAAGCAAACTTTACAGCACACATTTAATAAGTGAATAAAGTACGTAAGCCTTGAGATGACCACATGTAAAGATGTTGAAATGTAACTACACAACAACAAAACACAGCAGAAACGACTTCTGTTCACAGAGAACAATGATCTCATACATGTTGTTCCTCTTTTTCCAGGGCCTCTTTACCACAAACCCGAACGGATAGGGAGGAATATGCCTTTTACTGTAAACTGTCCAACTTTCTGAGTCAAGGGTTTCTGCATGAGCTTTCAGAGCTGTTTGACAGGAGGATGCAGATGCAGGGCTCTGCACATTCACACCTTGTTGCTAGTTGCTAGGCAACTACTTTTCTGCCTGTATTAGCACTTTACATGTATTAGTAAAACCACAGGATTTGCTCACAGCTGTTTTTACGAGTTTGCATGTTTGTTTTGTTTAAGGTTGTCATTATATTAAAAGATATTAACGAAAATATTTCCTTAATCAGAAAGAACCAGTGGCTTTTAGCGACTACAGTCTTTAAAATGAAGTTACTGTACCACTTGCAGCCGGCTAACTTAGCTTAGCACAAAGACTTCAGACAGGTGGTGACACATTGTGTGCAGCATAATGAAGTTTAGGAAGTTTGGAGGAGTATATAAATATATTACTAACAAAAAAACAGGGACAAATTATGAAATACATTAATAATTATAATAAAAATCTTTTTTTCCCACAAAGTCTGTAAAAAAATGTTGTTTATGCTACAAGTTACTTGGCAAACCAACAACTCCGTGGCTAACGTTAGCTCTTAGCTAGCTGATATGAAAGCCTCTACTTACCGCACTTTATGTGGCCTCAAGAGTTGAACAATGTTGGCGGTTTTTTAGTGTCTACCTGGGATCATTTAGCTCAATGTTTTGCACATTGCCGTGTGCTTTTTTAAGTAAACAAAGAGTCTATACAATTAAAGCGACAGGTGTCACAGGCGTGTATCATTGTAACGTTCTGCTGGTGTGAATATCAAACGCACCTTTCCCTCCTGCCCCCACAATATGATTGGCTGCTGTCAGCTTGATTCTAAGTACCGGCAGCCTAGTACTCTTTGGGCATTGTGCTGATGTAGATTGTCGACATTTATCTAATTGTATCTCCTATAGGCCTATACTTTTTGTAAAATAAATCCATGAAAATAAAAGTCTGTAGGCTACACATCTGACTTAAATCAAAGCCAGGTCATCCGAATTATGACTTTTGTCCACACCTTTGTTTGAAAGAGTCTTACTTTAATAACAATATAAATTATATCAACTGGTCATACAAATGTCCAGATTATAAACAAAACATCTAAAACCTACAAAAATCACAAAAAATATAATTTCAAACTTTAAAAACACCACAATATCAACAATTTACAATTAATTAAACCGTCAAACAAATATATCCTTTAATTTAAATGAAATGATCAATTACAGTGCATCTCTCGACCTGGTTTAGCGGCTCAATAGAGCCTGCATATGGGTAACATTAGTGCGCCAGTCAGCTGTTAATGTGCAAGAGAGATGAAGATTAGATGATGTTGTGGAGGAGAGTGACGGCCAGGGCGATGAGAGTCAGAGAGGAGGAGCAGACGGACGCAGAAGATCCAGACTCCATGAAGGCCTCTGTGTGTTTGAGCATCCACTTCTTCTCCTCATGAAGTCCCTGATTGTCCAGCTCAGCGCCCAACAGCTTCCTGATTGTCTCGTAGTAATTATTCAGCCACTGAAGCTGAAGCAAGAGAAAACACTCAATGAAAGTCAGAAAACAAGCCTAGAGATGTAAACTGTATGTATGTGAGAAAACAAGCAAACCGTTAATAACACAACCACTTTCGTCCTGTTCTGTGATTTTGTCCCCTCATCAAAAATACTAAATAAAATATCATTACTTTGCCAACAATGGTAGAAAAAGCAAATATAGTTGACTTGAGATCAAATGGAAATACTCGAGTTAACTACAAGTATTTCAACAGTGTATCCAAGTTAGGGCTGCACGATATATCGTGTCGTGATGATAATCACGATATGCGCATGCGCGATATTCACATCGCGTGGACGTGCGATTTAAAAAGAAAAAAACGTAATTTAATTTTCTTTTAAAACATTTTTTTGTAGGACTTGTGATATTAAGTAGGCAAATTAACTCAAACACGTCATGTTACAATTATTTTGCTGCTTGCTACAAAAGGAAAACTTGCGCGGCTCTCATGTCAGGGGTACTTGAGTGAGTGACAAGCAGGCTTTGCATGCACAGCAAACCACAATCAAATCTCCAAAGCAAACGGACCCCGTGATTAAAGGTGTTTTAATGTGTTTCTCCAGTTCGGTGCTGCTAACCGAGCTAGCTCAGCTTGTTGCTCTGATAACTTAAGATCCAGACGTCCGTGACTAAAATCCTTCATCCGGTTAAATATAGTTAAAAAAACAAACAATTGTATAGCATTAAAGTTCAAGAAAGGATGGTCAATTCCTGTATGTTTTCATATCGCAATATATATCGCAGGGGAAACAAAATCGCAATGTCAGTTTTTTCCAATATCGTGCAGCCCTAATCCAAGTATAGTAAAGTGAACTATTACAAAAATATTACATTTTCGAAAATAAGCCCAAAACCAACTTTTTTAGTATCAAAAACGTTTTGTAACTGCAAATACAATAATAATGCTTCAGAAACCAGTCTTATGTTTACACCTTAAATGGAAAGATAAAAATTGGAGTTAATTTCACACGTGGTTTTGTTTTCTTACAGAGTCTCTGAGCTGAGGAGAAGCTTTGAACTGAAGTGTAAAGGGGGGATTTTAAGAGGAAACCTGCACTCAGAGAGCAGGAAATCGAAAGCCTCGGTTGATGTCACACTATGTATTTACAAATTAAAACAGGAAACTGTTCATATCTCTGGGGAAGTTCACTTACATTATTGCTTCTAACTGGGCATTCTTTTACAGTAAGTTGGGTACGCATTTTTTAGTACCTCCTTTTTTTAAAGAAATAATGTTGAACTCCATTCATTTCTCAATATACAGTTCATACAGATAGTTTAATTTCCAGTGATCCAACGTAATGTCTTACCTGTTCGGAGCTGAGAAGTGAGGTGTCAATCAGCTTTCTGTCGTATGGGACCAGCGACACCGTCTCAAAGGTCAGGTAGTTCTGACCATACTGAGGGAAGAAATGGATATTCACATAGAGAATACCTTGACAATAAAAAAGGGAATCCTTTAAATAACTGTTGATTATCAACAAAGCTCTGTTGTGTATCTACCTTTGTTTTTGCTGGTTTGATCACAACAACATCTTCAATCCGGATCCCGAAGTCATTCTCCTTGTAATATCCAGGTTCTGAAAGCAAATCCTTTGAATTTTTCTGCATTTCCTTTAGATTAATCACTATGTTGTGTTATATGTAATGGATATATATGTATTTAAAAACAAGTAATATTAACTCACCAATAGACGTGAACATGCCGATTCTAAAGGGAATGTTGTTACTCTGAAAGCCAACCGGCCCTGAAAAGATATCACAACAGTACATTATTTAAAAAAACAGAAACCTAGGTAAAAACAAATCTTAAGAAAAACCTTTATGGACATTATTGTTGCATATGTTCCTGCAGTTAGTGAGCATTACCTGAATTGAGATTGAATTATGTCTATTTAAATGTTGTATAGTGTTGTCGTTTTGTTTTGAACCTTTCTTTTTCAGGAATATATGTCCAATAAATATTTTTTAAATGACTAATGTATTTTTTAATGTATTTTTTCAGGCAGTAGTGTTGTATTTTATCTTGATAATGTATAACATTTTACATTTTTTTCATTACTTAGTTAGGGTCTTAAATGCAATGTCCATTTCTGTATTTGCTTTAACCTTTATGAATTGGCAATTTTCAGAAAAAGCTCACACATACAGAAAGCTGCTACAATGCCTGTTGAATCAATAATTTGATTGATCAGCAACTATTTTGCTAATAAAAAATAAATGTATCATTAAAGGTGGGGTAGGTAAGTTTGAGAAACTGGCTCGAGATCGCTAGAATTTGAAAATACACAACCGGAGAAAATCTGCCACTTCCTTACAGAGCCCCTCCTCCAACACACACGAACGCGCACATGACCAATGAGGGCACGAGATAAGTTTGTGCACAGATGGAAGGCTGACAGGCAGGTAGGCCATCCAGTTATTTTAGCCGGGCCGGCTAAAATGATTGGTCGTGCTTTTTACAGTATCACGGCTTCCACAGATGACATTTTTTTATGGATTTTTTGTCAAAGCACTTAAGATATTCATTGCTATCGGGATGTTAAGAGCATTCCATGGAATATAACAAAAAGTGTATCTCGAGCCGGTTTCTCGAACTTACCTACCCTACCTTTAAAGTAATTTTCATATAAAAAACTGTTCGCAATTCCTCCAGTGTGATAGAATGCTGCTTCTCTTGGTTTTATATTACTGTAACCACTGTCAAAATAATTTGAACTGTCGATCAGACAAATCACTGTACTGAATAAATCAAAAACGGAAAACAAGTGGGGGAAAAAAAGAAAAGCATACACTCATGAACTCCAAAGAAGTTTCCAACACCGTGGCCTGTGCCATGCCCGTAGTTCAGGCCCACCTCCCACAATGCACGGCGACCAAGCATCTCCATGTTTACACCTGATGGTAAACAAAAGCCACACACAGAGTTCAATGACCTTGCAGTAAGATGTTTACAAAATGTTGATCAAACAGTGAAGAAATGGGGCTCTCTAGTGGTGACACTAGAATTTAAGGTTTCATTTTTTTTTATTCCCACCTCGTGTCCCTGAGGGAAAGATGGTTCGAGATATCTCAATGTTTCCCATGAGCACTCGAGTGAAGGCCTCCTGCAGAGCGAGACATGTGATTGATGAGAGGAAAATGGGATTTTAAAGGAATCATTTTGATGATATTTTGTGAAAAAACATTACTGCAAAGGCTTTTACTGTAAAGTTACATCAAAAAGTGTTGGCTAGTAAAATAATCCTAAATCAAAAACAAAATCATACATCAACATTGTCGTGAAAGACAACATTTAAATTAAACAGTCACATTTTCAGTATGATATCTAACGTGTTACCTTCTGCATGGCTGTGGGGGTTCCCCAGTGAACGGTCCGAGTGATGTCAGTGGTCCCGTCTCTGAGAGTAACGACAGACATGATGACTCATTTGAAATGCACGAGCTGTGATGTGAAACTGGAGAGTGTGTGGGCAGAGAGTGTTTTTACTCACAGGTACTGACCGCCGGAGTCCACCAGGTACATCTCATCAACTGTCAGCCTCCTGCTGGTTTCTTCTGAAGGGCTGCAGGAAATAACAGAAAAACAGGAAATGAAAGCAGCACTGCAGGTGGTAGTTGTGGTAAACCTCAAGGATCTGTGTTTGTAAAGTTGAACATTACTGCAGAGCATTTTATGATGCATGTAGATCAATTTGAAGAGGGGGGATGACAATCATTGTGATTATCATTAAAGGAAAGTAACACTTACTCAGGTAATATACCTAAGTACAATTGTGATGCACTTGCACTTTACTTGAATATTTCCATTCTTGGCTACTTTGTACTCCACTACATTTATAATACTGGTTACTTTTTATAATACTTCTATATAATATTTCCTATTAATAATACAAATATACGTACAAATAATTACCACTATACTTTAAGTTCATTTTACTCTGTACTCTCATAATTATTCTGTACAAGTAACATTTTGAATTTAGAATTTCTATCTGTGATTGAGTATTTTAAGTGTGATATTTTTACTTTGAATTAAGTAAAGGATTTGATAAATGTATCTTATAATGGCAATCAAATTGTTAAACTCCCAGGCCACCAAAATGCTCCCTCTCATGAATGTATAGCACCTCTAAATTAAAACCTATATTGTATGTTCTGAAAAAACGTATTTGCAGTAATGAATGCTGCAAGCTAAAGGCAAACTAGAGATAATAATATATTTGTTTGATATCAATGAAAAAGAAGAAGTCAGTAAGCAGAAATGATTACATCTTACCTGTAATGGGCAAGTGCAGCATTGGGTCCGCTTGCAGAGATAGTCTCAAAGCTCGGGCCTCTGCTGTCTTTCTGTTTGCTGTGAAAATATATTATTATTAGTTGTATTTTTAAATTATTGAACACGACTGAGATTGGATTTCAGTGTCACTATATCTCTCTTCTTCGTCCCTTTCTACTATGTTTTCTAGGCTCCACAAAACTGATATTCTGAGTGAAATACAGCTTTCTTCCATCTCGTGTGCACTCACGAGCGACATTTATTGACGTATGCTGCAGCAGTCAGCTCGGTCTCCTTCCCCTCCGGCACCGCCTTCTCCAGCCACATCAGCAGCTGGACGACTGCGACTGCATCCCTCACCTGCACAGAGAGATAACACAACGACCAGCAGAGGCTCAACATCCTACAATACCATAACAGCACAACACACACGGACTGAGTCACATGACATGTTGCAAAGTTGTTCAGACACCTATGGACAAGCTAATACATTTTTCAGGGCCTGTGTTCACTGAAGTGTTCAATCTCTTGATGAAAACGATTCATAAAAGTCCCAACAGTCTGACAGTGAAGTCACACACATAGGAGTACAGATATGAGCTATATTGGTGCTCATGTGTGCATGTACATGTGTGTGGTTGTGTATAAACAGGATGTGTGAAGGTGACTCACGTGAGCATCTCTCAAGATACGCTGCTCAGTTTCATCTTTCACAGCTTTCGTCGTCAACACAGGAGAGTAGGTGCTTGTCATCAGCTTCTCCTTCATGATGAAAAAAACAACATGATTAATACAAGGAAATATATTTCTTAGTATTATTCATATTGGAGAAACCTGGACCTCTCGTTAAAAACAGGGTGGAGTTTTTTTACCTTTGTAGAAAGTCCCAGTTATAATTATTTTTGTGTAAGTTGACTTAAGAACCCTGCATAGATTTTTGCTATTACTGTATGAGGGAATACGTTTATTCTGTTACTGTAAAGCCTTTTTGTCACATGTGGAAATGCCTTAAGCCTGCACTCTCTGTAATAAATAATGGTTCCTTTCTGAGTAAAATAGAGCAAGGTAAAGTTTAGGGATCTTTGTTTTTTTTCACAATGAGTGGCCTCTTTCACATTAAAAACAGTCATTACATCAATTTCTTAAATAATATATATACAAAGCTGTAAATATGTACAACTCATTATATAAATATACCCGGCAGCAGCAAGCGAGTGCTCGCAGACTAAGGCAATACAAAAGATAATTAAACTGTATGTACACAGAGTATATCTTAAGATCATACAGTAATATACCACTAAGAGAGAAGGAAATTATGCAGTACAGTAAATATAATAAAATGTCTGTCCACCTCTGGTGTAATGATCTCATAAAGTGCGTAGTTTGTGTACTCTGTGCCGATCCACACTTTAACCCCAGGCTGATCCACGTACGTCTGCAGGTGCTCTCGGACAGAGTCGTAGCTTTTCAGTTGCACACAGAGGGGCCCCCGTATACATGAGGTGGCGTTCAGGTACACCTTCAGTTCCTCTGTCACTCTCTCTGTGTGGAGAAAGAGCCTGGGAGAAGTGGACAAAGGGAGAGTGGTTCATAAAAAGATAGGTTAATGTTTGAATGATGGTAATCTAATATTTGCACTTAACCTGAAAGAAAATATAATAAAACCCATTGACTTGACAAATCACGTAATAAAACGTCCTGACTGATAATGTAACATCATGTTTGGAAATGTAAACTCTAGGCTTTTTGTCATTTTAAATGTACAACAGATGGCAAATGATGAGTTTTTTTTTTTGTTGGAGATGCATTGAACTAAAATCATTATCAATGGAAAATGAAACACATTTGATTGGTCGTAGTTCAATGTTCGTTCATTAGAAAAGGGTAGATAATAGATTAGACATCGTCAATACAAATTCCCAATAATTTAATATGGTATTATTACATCATCAGTGAAAATATTATAATAATATGAGTCATGATATTTTATAACATCATTGTGTTTTATTACATTTTAAATCAGTGCAAATGTCATTACATTTAAAATAGCTACACTATCTGGTGCTACAGTCCTCAAATCCTCTTAAATGTCATGGGAGTCACAAAGACATAAGAAAGACAATTTGAAATGAATGCTACAGTTTCACACATTTAATCCCAGAATAATTAATTTACCAGATCTCATCCATTGTAAGCAGTGTGTAGGAGTAGAAGAAGGGATTGTATGGGATGTCGTTGCCGCGCAGATTGAACAGCCCTAGAAATCAAAACAGACACACCACCGCCGACTGTGAGCAGCAGCTTGTGCATTCATTTAAATCATCGACTACTTCCACCTGAGCCAAGGCACGCCGTTTATATCAATTGTTTCTGTCTCACAGACGTGACTTCTTCTGTGTCCTTGTCATTGAAAACAGACTCGCTAATTCTGAAATCAGAAGTCAGGAGAGGTCTGACGCTCAGCAGTGCTCCTCATGATTTATAAGATGCTTTTGAAAAACTCCCTGTTCTTTAAAAATATCTGTAGTCTATTCTCCATATTTCTGTCATTTAGTTTTACATTTTTTTACCACATTCTCAGTATAATATGCAGCTCCTCGGGCTCCAGTTCAATCTAAAAGCTGTTTTTGCATTTGAGCTTTGTTTCCCCTGCCATTTTATTTTGATGTAAACTGTATTTTCAGATCTGTCCTGAGGCGTAAGTAAAAAGAAGCAGCTACAAAGGACCCTGCAGCCGCTTGGTGGACTAAAAACTAAAAGGAAATAAGACCTTTGGGATTACTTTTCAGTCATTTCTGAAAATGTTATGCACTGTAAAAAGGTATCCTGTTTTATTGTTATATATCCTAATATTGTATCTCCCAACTATTACATAGTTACATAATATAGGATTCATTACTGGTTATAATGTATGTTATTTAACATTCTTGCACTCTCCTTTGTGTTGTGCATTCTCTTAGGGAATTATCATACACATCGTTTTTTAAATAATCACACATGTTGTTGTTTTTGCATTGATTTTAAATGTGGGATGTAGCTCTGCAGTTGTAAATACATTTAAAAACTATTCATATAATTGTCTTGAGCGGTGATAAAATGATGTTTCTTTGGTGGTGATGAACAATACTGCATGTTTATCCAGAGGCTACTACAAACTGCACATGTTGCTATTCTAAGCAAACATCCTAATCATATTTATCTAGTCATACCAGCAACTATTGCACTAAAGATCCGCAAAATAGATTATTTTATGTCCCCATGGTTTCCCCTGAGCTTTGTAAAACTGTGTTCTCTTAGTATGCCTGAGGTCATGGAGGTACTGTTCTTGGAAAACCTTTAAAGGTCTCATGCAAATTGACCAGAAGGAAATATGTTGCTGTTTTGAAAATCCTTGATGTGGAGTGTGTGATGGATATAGCTGGTATCGTGTTCCAACAAGTGAAATTGTTTTTTTACGTGAAGCTGTTCTTTCTGCCGTCTTGACAAGGACTCCCCCAGAAGAAGATATTTCTAATTAATGGGACTTTTGAAGGCTTAAGAACGAATAAATAAATAATGCAAAATTCTCATGTTTTTGTGTTTTTCACTGAATAATGCTGGTGTGGTTTAGTATTCGTTTTTCCAAATCAGCAACATGATTTATTAATAGCTTCATGGAGGAAGTTAGAGTTACTCACAGGCTGTTTCATCCAGTGCGGACAGCAGAAGAGCTGTCGGCTCGTATGGATTATCTCTTATCTGATTCCGTATGTGCTCCACTTTCATCTCCCAGGACCTTTCTGCAAACACACATTCAACATCACAGTTAACACTTGATGCCATTTTGTGACAGATATTGAGTTTTATTAGGTATCTTCACCATGATCTTAATCAGTAGGGAGAGACATCGTTTGAATCCAGCTTGCTGCTTCATTGCAAAGCATTTTATATAAATGTATTGAGTTAGTCCTCAGCATCGAATTCAAATGAAAAGATTTGCTGGATTTAATGAGTTTGATGAGTGCGGTGATATTGAAGAAACAAATGGTAAAGTTGGGAGCTCAAATTCAAAACAATTAACTGAGAGACACTACATTGCTTCTTACAGAAAAAGTAGACAACAACACATTTCACATTACAAATTAGACCCATTGTTCATAAAAAAAATCCGTGCAACTCTTAACTTCACTATGTTTATATAATTAGTTTTTTATTTTATTTAAATGGAGCAACAGTTATGAAACTCAACTTCTCCTAGAGTTTTCCTAAAGTTGTGAATAGTAGTTTTTATCTATAAAAGAGACTTCTGCTAAGTGCAAACACACATTATTGAATTCCCATTAACTTTGTCCTTTTCTCTTCATGTCGTGTGCAAAATGCTCATCACTTGATGGACTCTACCCACAATGCCAAGTACCGTGTGAGTGCATGCTTTCATACCCAAACCCACCTAAAACTCAACACACCATAACACACACACAGAGACCATTAGGTTTATGATAGACTCTCCATTTGTCTGTTCTCCCACCATAAAGACTAATAAGGATAACGGGCATCCAGACAACTTCCTACTCCGAGGCTTTTCTATTCTCTCAAAGTTGGTATTTGATCTTTAAGGCAGCCATAAAATCATGAATAGACTCTTTATGGTGTTGTTTGTGGAGCCGCTTATTGCTTTTCAGTCCAGTTTGCAGGTATTTATCAGCACATAGATAAGGGGCACCTCACAGGCAGACTGCAGGGTGTGTGTGTGTGTGTGTGTGTGTGTGTGTGTGTGTGTGTGTGTGTGTGTGTGTGTGTGTGTGTGTGTGTGTGTGTGTGTGTGTGTGTGTGTGTGTGTGTGTGTGTGTGTGTGTGTGTGTGTGTGTGTGTGTGTGTGTGTATAGCACTAGACTAGACCTACTTATGATTCTGTCGGGCAGGCGGGTGAGGTTGCCAGGTGGGACGGGTGGCCTGTCTGTCCACACTTGGTCGACCAGGTTAACGGGGACAGACATGAGGCTGCGATTGGTCGACTCCAGGACCACACTGTAGTCCCCCTGCGTTTCTGATGGAGGAAATTGCAGATGATTACACACACTGAGCCGAATCAATGATGAGTAAACAGTCCGCGTGGCGTCTGGAGGCTCCATCGATCATTTTCCATCTACTCTGGCGAGCACTTTATCGATGTTAACCTGGACTGACAGGAGGACGGAGACTCACTGAGGGAGAAGAGGAAGGGATCAAAGCCGATGTAGCCGCCCGGTGGGACCTCGGAGATCAGCCACACTGCCACGCTGCGGACGGACACTGGGGAACATCACACATGACACAAGTTCAAGTTGACTCAACAGGATGTGACAGAATAAATGCAGTTTATTCACCTGTGCTCAAAATGTTTTGGGTTTGCCAATTAGATGTGCATTAATTCAAATCAGCAGAGATTTTATTTGTTATAACATGTGAAAACTAATATACTTTATTGACTCTATCAACACTATTTTTAAAATAATATTATTTATACTCTATATATGCTTTTGTAGTTATAGTAAGATACTCTCAACTCCCTACATTTGTATTTTAAATGTAATTTATTTGCCAAAAAAGAGACAAAATGCACAATAAACAAAGTTAAATACAAATTCTTAATATTATGATTATTATTTTCAAAACGTCTGTAGATAACATCATAATATCGTTAATGAAAAAATATTTTGGCCACGATAATTGTGTAGTATAGGAATAAAGAATTCCACCACATATATTAATGTAAATAAATGTGGTAAATGCTGAAGTTGTAGCCAATATATCCAATATAATCCAAATAATTTTGAATTTCCCCACAGAAATATATTTTATGTTCTCACTTGCAGTGTTTCTATTTGCAGCGTGTTTCTCTACGCAGCGTATATGTTTTATTGAGCTCTTTTTGCCACTATGCAAATCCTTGACTACAATAGGTGCCTGTACAAGTCCTAAATTGCAAAGTTGCCCCACTGTATCCAAATGTGTGAACATCAGCACAATTGTTCAGTATTAAAATAAATTTGCAAGACAAACCATGCTGGGACTGTTCCTTTGTTGAGCTATTTATATCATCTAAATCCTTTGATAATGCGTGCAGCTTTTGTCAGGTGTTATCTTTGAGACAAGATCATCAAAACCACCGTTGGATGTGTGCACTGCGTTGTCATAACAAGTAGTCACAATACGATTGCCCACCATCAAATTCCAGATCCCAGTTGCAGTCCATCTGTCTCTCAGCTTGCACCCAGTAGCGGCTGTCTGTCCACAGAGTTGCTTTTGTCTGAGTGACCACAGCAGTGCCTGCAGAGAGGCAAAACAGCAGCTGCGTTATCCAGAGGAATATTGATAGTGAACTCAAAACAACTCGTGATGCTAGATTTGACTTTGAACAATGTTTGATGTGTTAGCTAATGTTGAAAAATGCAGGCATGTGAAGAGACACAGGAAGGAGAAAGCCTGAGGAGATGTGTGGTGGAAACACAGTATAATCAGGGCTTATATGATCATTCCACTGCTGTACCCAAACATGGGATACATGCACTTAAGTAGTGACAGCTGAGTAGATCCCTAAATCTAATTTTGGTCTTATTCTTAATGGACACCCAGAAAAAGTGATTTTTCTTTGAGCAGTCTGGCATATCTTTGGCCTGGCGTAAAGAGCACTTTACTGAAATATCATCCGTCTTGTTGTTTTAATGCGTGCATCAGCTGAGTGTACAAATATGTACAATCATGAATTCGTTCTGCAATATTGCGTGCAAATACATCTTCTGATTTAATGGTGAAGATCGGAGAGTTCAGACGAATGAAAAGATGCAGCGAGCGATAAAATTAAAAGAAAAATGGCTCAATGGTGAGGATGTGGGATGAAAGTAGAGGAGCTGCGTGACCGCGGCACTCAGACATGGGGGGTTGAGTCATGGGGAAGAAGAGGAGGAGAAGGAGGGGGAGGAAAAGGAGGATAAGGACGAGGAGAAAAAAAGGAAAGAAGAGGCAGAAAGGGATTGTACCTGCGGAGCCTGTAAAGCCGGTCATGAAGGCCATCCTGGCATCACGTGGTGCAATATACTCACTCTGACAGAGAAACAGAGGTTAGCATCTCACACACACACACACAGACACACACATTTTAAATCCCAAAGGAGTTAATTATGACGGACAGCAGATGTACCAGGTGAGAGTCAGTGCCAGGAATAATGTAGGCAGAGATATTCTGGAGAAGCATTTGCACTCGTAATTCCTGAAGCCGGAGAGTGGTATTAACTGCTGTGGTGGGGAGGTACTGTAACACACACGCACACGCACACGCACACGCACACACACACACACACACACACACACACACACACGCACACACACACACACACACACACACGCACACGCACACATACAACATCAAAGAGAGAGAAAGACAGAGAGTGTGAAAAGTCTTCAAATGCAATAAAAACCTGCAGAACTGCTGATTCATCAGTTCCTGTATCTCCCATTGTAATCATTAACTGTCCTGCGTGCAGTAATCATTATCTGTAACTTTATAAAACGTGTGCAACATGTTCCATGGAAAATGCTGTTTTTATGATGTAATATCTGTATTCTAATGTTTCTTTCAATCAAAGAGCCTCAATTCACTCACAGGAGGCGAGGCGGAGCAGTTCCTCTCAGTCCGCTCGTACGCAGCAGCAACAGCAGTGGTTCCTGGAATGCAAAGCGCACAATGAAATATCTTGGGAAATGAAACTAAATAGTTAGCTCTGAAAGCACATGATCATGAGGGATGTTTTTCGGAATCAATGGGACTTATAACCTAAAAATAGCCCTGATCAGTCAAAGTAGCTTGCAAAAGATAACAATGATAACACAATAACCACACCAATAAGAGTTATGCACTAGATAAAGGGAGTGGAGTTCAATCAGGTCCTTGTTCACAGTTGATTTGATAAAATATATCATATCTCATCATAGGAATCCTGATGAGAAAACTAACATGCACAGAAAAAGCAGAAGGCAATGTTTTATTCCCCCATTACAAGTTCAATTGAAATCAAAACTGCATATTGATCCCTTTTTACATATCTCACCACTTCACGGCTTCTGTCATCGTCATTTACAAATAGAAATATTGATCTTCACAGCTAAACATCAGAGACTTGACACACACACACACACACACCACACACACACACACACACACACACACACACACACACACACACACACACACACACACACACACACACACACACACACACACACACACACACACACACACACACACACACACACATACACACAGTCCAGTGAGGACAGGGAACTTTTTACCTGTTAGTGCGGCCAGACAGAGAGCCAGCAGCAGCACGCCACAGGAAGTCATCTCGGCACTGAGAGCCGTCAGGAGCAGATCCACAGACAGAGTGATCGCAAAGCAGGTGCTCCGACGTGTATGCAGCGTATGTGAGAACGTGTGTGTGGGTGTCTGATGGGAAGTGTATGACTGTCCTCTCTCTCTTTTCTCTCCTCCTCCTCCTCCGCCACTATCTCCTCTCCCTGCGGCCCTCAGATAGTAATCATGTGCAGCGGCTTTGGGGGTGGATCTTGGAGTTCAGAAACATTTATTTGCTTCCTGACTTAAAATACAACGAGTCAAACTACAATGACCCCCCACCTGTTTATTGCTCAACGTTTTTCATTGTGTCATGATGCAACTCAGCAGCTGTGGAATTTCCCCTGAGAGGCACGGTCATCTTGCATGCGTTTTTGATCGAATAAAAACACACTTGTGCTGTTATCTTAATTATTTGCACCAATAAGAAGTGAGAGATGGCAACAATGGCTGTTTTACATGCAATGCACAAAGAACTGGAGAGTCCTGTACATGTGCAGATGAACGCCTATATTTTTCACATTTGCATATAAATGCATGCGCAGTATCTGTGTCTACAGATCCACATATTATAGACGAGGCCTTGTAATCCTGCAGGGATTTCCATAGAATTTCATTTCAATCCTTCCATTCATGCCAAATGTATTCTGCCACTTAGCCAAAAGGAGAGGCGGAGGAGAGGAAGAGGAGGGGGGATTTAATCTTATAATATCTTCTTTTTTATTTTACTGGAATTAGTTTGACGTCAAACAAATTAAAGTTGTGGTGAAAACTGTTGTTACCTTTAGACAGAGGCAGGCTAGCCGTTTCCCCTTGTTTCCAGTCTGCTAAGCTAAGCTAAGCAGATGTTGACTGTAGCTTCATATTTAGCATACTTAAAGTGTTATCAGACTTCTCCGTTAATTTACATTACATTTTCCCTCTGGGAATAAGAAAGAATGTCTGAATCTTAATCTTATTTCTTTAATGTATATGAATCTAACTAAAGTTCTATATTTGCTTTAATAAGTGTTGGTGTTTAATGTGCTGCCTTTTGTAAAGCACTATTTAAATTGTTTTTTGGAAGTTTTCTACAAAAATGTGCCGATATTATTATTCATAATCGTTATTGTATAAAGAGATAGGACTCTGGGCACTGAAGCTGGGCCAATTAGTCAGTGCTCGGAAATGATAAACCCCCTCAGAGCAGTGTGTTATTGCTGGTTTATTAATCCAGAAGCAGGCGCCTACAGTACAGCTTGTGTTTTACCGACATTACAACTACTGTACCTGATGTGAATATTTTATTATAAGCCAACACCTCTACAATGCTCTTGGATCCCCTGCCTTTGATCATAAATTCAAAACCTGGCAGACCTTCAGACTTCAGCGCTGTGGTGAGAAATATGAGATCACAGAGCTGTGCCTTTTAAACGACCCTCTTCTTTCATTAGCTGCAGATTGAAATGTATTTTAAGGAGTTATAAAGGGGTCTATGAAAACTAAAAGAAATGGTGGACTCTGTTTAATTTAAAATGTCCCCTTTCTTCCCCATGCCCGGTTAATCTTCTTAATGAAAACGATAAGAGCAGATAGGGTACAGTGTTTTATGAATAATTAGCTTATTGTATGTCTACCAGATATTATTTGAAAACACAGTACCATTAATTTGTTACTTTAAAGGGGACCTATCATGCAAAATGCACTTTTGCACGTCTTTTATACATGAATATGTGTCCCTGGTGTTCCAGGGAACTCACCAAGTGTCAGAAAACACAACCCTCTCTCTTTTCCTCCATACCCAAATCTCTAAAAACGGGGCTGCAACGGATCTGATACAGACTGATCCAGATTTGAACATTTCTCTGACGTCAGGACGGAGGAGCTCCGCCTATATGGCCAACTCTCCACCTATCAGGGGAATGAGAGGTTGCCGTGGCATGGTAACAGCATGGTAACATGACGCTCGTAATTAGAATATTAGAATATATAAAAAAAGAACATCATGCGTGTCCTGATGGCACATAACAGCTCGCGGCCGCAGATTACTCCGGGTCCCAGACCCCCCCCATACCCTGAAAATATTTTTATTGCAGATCTACATGAATCACACAAACGACCTATTTTGGATTCAAAACGGCGAATTTCGCCGAAAGGTGACAAGTTTGCATCCCTGATTATTCAAATATAGCATGATAGGTCCACTTTAAAATAGTTTCAACTATTTTATATTTTATAGCAAGATAATGCTGTATATATAATATTTAATCCTAATTTCTGTGTATCATTTTAAAATGCCTACATCTGCCATTAATCGATGTATTTCAACAGTCACCCAAAAACCTTTGTTACTGCTCACAACATTATGTCTATTTAAAGTGACCCAGTGATTGTGCTGGACATTTTATTATCACATTCATAAATAGGCCATGGATACACTGTGTGCAAACTGTCTGATGTGTTGATTTCTGGGGGGAAAAAGCACATTTGATATCTGTTAATCTTTTGAAACTAAATTATAAATGGCTTAATATAGCAACATTTAGAACAAAAAAAGTCTGAATATGTCCTATTAAAGGTGGGGTAGGTCATTTTGGAGAAACCAGCTCGAGTGCGCTAGAATTTGAAAATACACAGCCGGAAAAAATCTGCCACTTCCTTACAGAGCCCCTCCTCCAACACACACGAACGCGCACATGACCAATGAGGGCACGAGATAGGTTTGTGCACAGATGGAAGGCTGACAGGCAGGTAGGCCATCCAGTTATTTTAGCCGGGCCGGCTAAAATGATTGGTCGTGCTTTTTACAGTACTACGGCTTCCACAGATGACATTTTTTTTATGGATTTTTTGTCAAAGCACTTAAGATATTCATTGCTATCGGGATGTTAAGAGCATTCCATGGAATATAACAAAAAGTGCATGTATCTCGAGCCGATTTCTCAAACTTACCTACCCCACCTTTAAGAAGATAATAGGACATATAATCCTATTAATAATGTAGCAGGTGCAAACAGCTTATTTGAAAAGGAGGAATCACAGCCTGTGGAAAGGTAGAGTTGTTTTCTCACATTTAGAAACACCTTCAGCTCGTCTATAGCATTGAAAATATTTACTGGCAGTTTCTCTTGTGCAGCAGTGTGGATTGACAGACTGAGCTGCTGAGTTTTACAGTTTGATACAAGCCTGATTGACATAAAACTGAACAGAAACAATCTGCCACCAATTATTTGATTGAACCATATGAAATGAATATAAAGAGCAAATTGAGGCCAAGTTCCTGTCCGGACAGGGCAGTTTTGTGTGAATTATGTCTTGCTTCTGTATTATCTTTTGTTTGTAATTTCTTCTCAGGTGTCACCCGCATAAGTGGTTGTGATAAGATGTCCTGACTAATTAAATAAAGCTCAACTAACACATTAATTAAAAGCAAACAGGCCTAAAAGCTGTCTTAAATGACAGCGACCTAAGAGAGATGTTGGACCTTGAGGATCTCAGACTTTCTTTGTGTGGCAGATGAGGTAGTATCAAGGAGGTGGATGACATTTTATCAGCTCTTCCCCAAAAAGGAAAGAGAAGTAGTCTAAATCAGTGGTTCTCAACTGGTCAGGCCTCGGGACCCACTTTTTCCTTTGTCAATCAATCGCGACTCGAAATTTTGAACCACTCAAATCTATTCAACAAAAAATCGTGCTGTAATACGCTTTTCAGCATACAATATTAAAGTGAAGTACAGGGCATATATCTCTTCACAGAACTGAAGAATACTTTTAAATAAGGTTTAATGAGATGATGGAATCAAAGCTGAACTGTATAACATAAAAAGGCACACATGCTGAAAACCCAACCCCAGCATTCTCCCCCAGGAGATTTTTAGAAATACTAACATATAAACTACGCATTCTGGTACACTCTGAGATGAAAATAAATAAATCTATTACTAGCCGACATATTAATAATATTTTATGCCATTGTTTGTTTTTCACTTTGTTCTGACAGCTTGCTGCTCCACACAGAGAGAAGAGCAAAGAGGAGATAGTCTGTGTGACTTACTTTCAATTGTGGGTAAGGGTAGATAACTCCCATTGTTCTGTGACCTGTCAATCATCAAACCGGGGGTCATATTTCATTATGTGTTCATTTTTATCTGAAGTTGTACCCATGGATGTATAGAGTGGCGAAGTCACGCCCATCTACTTCCGCCCCATGGGACCTTATTTCGGAAAAATAATGTATTGAAGTCAATGGAGAGAGAAAACGTATCTTTCGATCCCGTTTGAATTGTGCCATGAATTACACATATGATGTTTGTCAATCTTAAAAAATAATTTCCATGTCAAAAAAGTCACAGTTTGTCGTAAAACTGTTGAAATATAAGACTATGAAAAATACGCAACTAGAAAGACTACAAATCCCAGAGTCGCGTAAGTGATGTCACAATTGTTTTCCTCCACTAAGAGATAGCTAAGATCAGCGCCATATAGATAGAATCTATCTATATGGCGCTGGCTAAGATAAGATAACTTTAACAAGATGCCTGTGTGCTTAGTACCAGGTTGTTCATACCAGCAATGGGTCTTGCTCGTTCTTTCGCTTCCCGTCTGATGAAAGGACTAGGAGTGTCTGGATCAAGGTAGCTAGTAGCTAGCACGTTAGTTAGCATTACAGCCTTGTCATTTGTATTAGCCTTAACATGAAGTAACATTAAGTAACCCAAAATGTTAAACAGTAAGAGTAATAGTCATATTTCGTGAACCCTTTGAAGAGTACTGTCACACCGGTGTGATCATTCTATAATACACAATTTAAGCCCGGGGGAGAAATGCTAACGCTAACGCTAGCGATCTTCTCTACTTCATGCTATCTGCACAAATGGTTGACATTAAACATTAAAAAGACCAGGCAGTTCAGAGAGAATCAAAGGAAGGCAGGCAGGCAGCTTTGCATGACTTTCTTCAGGACGTGTTTCATTGTGGTGATAGTGAGGGTAGTCAATCGTTTTGTTGACAAGACAGTAGTGACGGCCATCTTGGTGACGTGTGTTGTTCTGTGAGACCAGAGATGTAGTTCCTTGAGCGTTTCACACAAACAAATGTGTTACTTCACAGTTTTACGACACATTTTTTTGACTTGCAAAATTATCTTTTAAATTGACAAACATCATAATCATAATTTTTCCGAAATAAGGTCCCATGGAGGTCCACCGGAAGGGGAGGGA